GCCGATTCATCGATTAATCGAAAAAATAATCGGCCGATTCATCGATTTTTAAATAATCATTTGCAGCCCTACCCGCTTCACTCTCGATGAAGACCCAATCTGCCTATGGATTTCCTGATCAATCTTCCCACATTCATGAACATGACCCCTAGTAGGGCTAAAAGACTGAGCCAAACATAGGGGTGGGTTATCAAATATAACCGATTTATCGAGTTTCCCCACGTACAATAGTTCAAATAACTCAATCGCAGCCATTGAGTACAAATTTGCATAATGACATTAAGCAGTCTGCATCTATTGCTCTGAGAGTTTTATTTTTCCCACACACTTTGAATGCATCATAAGTCTGTCCTCCCAACAGGGTCGCACACTACAGCAACCATTAACTGAAACATGGCGACAGCAGCTGTTTCAGCTGAGCAATATATGGCAGCGGTCTGGATTTCACGCCAAAGACGATGAGCTACAGGCGCTAATTTGTAAGCCGTACAGCAAAAACCATTGCTGCAAAAGGTAGCGGTACAAATTTATTCCAGCACCTAAAAAGTCATCCGCTGCAAAATGAAGAATGTTATAAACCCCTCATGTCAGCGAAACACAATCGCAGAGGCAATCAATTTTGGTTTTATTACAATTAAAGAGTAGGTAGCCAAATATTTCCCTCCAGCCCTTTATTTGGCGTTAATAAAGTGGGTTTGCAACCACACAGACAGGAAGAGAGAGGTGCTGCTAACCTGCAAATTCATGCATACAGGTAGAATTTATCACTTCTTGACAAACAGCTACAAAGGCCTTTGTTGCAGTAGTTAAGTCCTGCAAAAAAGGACTGAACATGAAAGAAGTGAAACCCTGTGGTGAAACATTTAATGCAAGGGAAATTCAAAATAAAATCACATTTGTAAAATTGGATTAAAAATAATCGCAATTTTCATTTTTGACAAAATTATTTAGCCCTATTTGGAAATGCTGACTTCTACCTGCATGCATAGCTCTGTTTGCTTACAGGATGTTTAAACCCATTTTAAAGATATTACTGCTGCCTAAAGGGCTCGAGTGAAGAAAAATGTGTCTCTTAAGCCGCGATATTTTCAATCCTTGCACACAGTTACAGCTCAAACTGTACCATGGTAACATAAGGGCACAGGGGTTAAAGGTTTGTAGCTCATAATGTCTGTTCTCACACTGTGTGACTCGATGCTCAGATGCGATCTACCGGCTCACATTGTACGTCCAAAAACCACCCGTCAGACAAGGCGCCAAGAGATGGTGCTGATCAGACTGATCAATCTGGAGGAAGCAGGGGAAGAACTCCCTTGTTTGCACATATGCACTGCTCAAAGTTCTTCTAAATCGGATCGTAGCTCTGCTTCAACAGCAGGATCTGTACACGACCACCTTACGATGTCCGACCAAATTTCAAACATGTTTGATTTTCTGCCGTCCTTACGATTCCTGATGGGGAGGTGTTCATGAGAGGCTGATCGCCCCTGGTTACCCACTCTATAGCTACGCACCATGAGGCTATAAGCGGCCCGATGCAAAAATGATCTCACGGCTGGAGAATCAGCCTGAAAAGGGCAAAAAAAAAAAATCTTACAGTGTAAGCCTGGCTTTAGACTTTTGAAGTGTACAATTAAAAAACTTGAACACCCATGTGAATTGAAATTGTCTTCTGTTAACCCTTAATAGGGCACTAAGTGAAATACTTTGAAAATCAAAATTTGAAGCCAATACTGTTATTGGAATCCAGGACAAGACCTTATTACCTTTATAACATTAAAAAAACATGGATAATGTTGATGCAATAACAAGAAAAGCCAACTGGCCCAAATATATTAAGAAAAATAACCAAAGTACTTCTAGAAGAAATTAATGAAAAACAGAGTGAAAGAAATACATTTTTTCTTTGGTCCAACATAACCTTAAATGCTTTGATGCTGATACTGGCACTTTAATTTTACAGTTTATAAACCTAAATATAATTATTAACAAGGCTTATTATCTTTTTA